TTTCGGATCCCTTTTTCGTTCTCTGTCTCTTCGTTTTTATAGGTTGTTGTACGGAAAACCTAATGGGCCGTATCCTTCGCTCCATGGGCCTCCTCAGTGGGCCTCATCGTGTTACTCGGTACGGACGATGACGTAAGCTCGCACGGACTCCCTTGTCGCGTTGCGCCCAAAGACTCTCCTCGCTCGTGTGAACCGAGTAATGGGCCTGGCCTCCTTATTCGACGGGCCTTGAGGGATGGATCTGATCCTATCCCCTACATTAATGTTACTTTACCTAATTAAATTAAGTTGTAGATACGTAATGTTAAGTTTACTGCAACACGAGTGTCGACTTCTCTTGGACAGCAAGACACAACAAACGCAAGAATTGGACATATGGTTTGAGCAATGAAGAAAGCAGAATCACGCAGAGGAAGAGAAGAGTTGTTTGCACATTGTAGAAATGAAAAGACAAGGAGCACACACACAACTTTATCCAGTTCACTCCCGTAGTTTAGGGTAGCTACGTCTGGCCGAGACTTGCTCGGAATCCACTAGAATCACAGTGATTACAACAAGGAGATACAAGTGACACGCCTAATACCCTTCACTAGTACTTAGACTCACTCTGTAACTCTCCTTGTAACCTAGAGAAAACAATTGTATACAAGTTTATGCTAATAACAATCTTTTCTCTAATCACTCTAGTTGTCCCTCTTATCTCTCTCTCTAAGCCTCAATGCCTTTATATATCAGAAGCATTATGTTACTCGTGCAGCAGTGACTCCAAGGTGACGTGTAACAGACCGTTGCAGACGCTCCCTTAGATCTTATCCTCACAGCTAGTACTCTTGCTTTATTGACCATAAACGGACAAAACCTTGTACGGTGAATAGCTGGCTCCTTATCATCGTATTGACCAAAGGAACAGCTCATCAAGTAGTCCAAAATAAAGCAGACTTATATTAGTCTTGATTTACTTCTACGGCAGTAAGTCTTGAGTCACCGCTTAGCTTGTAGGATTTGAACATTCCTTGATCATCACTAAACATCTCCACAATTCTCCACCTGTTTACATGATGAGGAAGATGCAATGTTTGTGATGACCTGCACGAGTATAAGAGAGAGAGAGTAGTAACATCCGATTCTAGTATTAGGATTCCAGTCTCGGTTTCCCTGAGTTTTATTACTCAGCCTTGACATGTAACAAGTTAAGCGTTGCTTGAAACTTGTTTACAGCCAAGATCTTGGTGAAGATATCTGCTGGATTCTTCTCAGTAGAGATCTTCAACACTTCCACGGTTCCTTCTGCTATCACTTCTCTGATGAAGTGACACTTAACATCGATGTGCTTCGTGCGTTCATGATGCACATTTTTCTTTGAGAGAGAGATGGCACTTTGTGAGTCACAATGGATCTCAACACTCTTCTGATCATAACCAAACTCCGTTAGCAGACCCTTCAACCATATGGCTTCTTTAACCGCTTCATTCAAAGCCATATATTCAGCTTCAGTTGTAGACAGAGCAACTACTCGCTATAAACCAGATTTCCAACTGATGGTATTGCCTCCTAGTGTAAATACTAGGCCAGTGATGGATCTTCTATCTGGATCAGCTGCAAAATCTGAGTCACAGGACCCTACAATCTTGAAGTCTGAACTTTTCTTGTAACATAGACGAGTCTTTATAGACCCTTTGATGTATCTCATTAGCCATTTTACTCCCAGCCAATGTTCTCTGACCGGTTTACTCATGAAGCGACTGACTATGCCCACTGAATAGGCCAAATCAGGACGTGTGCTTATCATGGCATACATGGTGCTTATCATGGCATACATGATGCTTCCAACAGCATTGGAGTATGGCACTGTCTTCATGACCTCTCCATCTTTTATCAACTATTCTTCGGTTGCAGCACTCAACTTCAGATGAGCTCCCAAAGGCGTTACAGCATGCTTGGATTCAGTCATGTTGTAGGTTTCCAATACTCTGGATAAGTATTCTTCTTGAGATAACCAGAGAGCCCCAGATGCCCTGTTTCGGTTGATCTCAATTCCTAGTATCCTCTTGGCAGGTCCAAGATCCATCATCTCAAAACGTAGACTGAGTTCATGCTTCAACTGAGCTATAACTTCCTTGTTTCTTGCTGCTACAAGCATATCATCTACATAGATAAGCAGGTACATCATTGACCCATCTTGCAGCATCTTGGTATAAGCACAGTTGTCATAATCACTTCTCTTGAAACTATTCTCCTTTATGTAGTTATCAAACTTTTCATTCTATTGCCTTGGAACTTGTTTGAGACCGTACAGAGACTTGTTTAGAAGACATACTTCATTCTTCTTGAACATGGACTCATAGCCTTCTGGAGGTTTCATGTAGATCTTCTCAGTCAGCTCTCCATGCAGGAAAGCCGTTTTGACATCAAGTTGCTCTAATTCTAGGTCTTCTTGAGCAACAACAGCAAGCAGAATCCTTATGGAAACATGCTTAAAAACCAGAGCAAATATCTCATGATAATCTACTCCTTCTCTTTGAGCATAACCCTTGGCAACAAGTCTCACTTTGAACCGATCTTTCTCAACTCCTGGTATCCCCAACTTGTACTTGTATATTCATCTGCTACCAATGATGCGTTGATCTTCAGGAATGGTGACAATGGTCCAGGTGTTGTTCTTAATCTGAGATTCCATCTCTTCATCCATTGCCTGCTTCCACTGATCCCAATTCGTGTCTATTCTGGCCTTAGTATAATCAGATGGTTCAGCCGAGTCTCCACCCTCTGTAGTGTAGTGAGCTTCTGAGAAGTAGTCTTCATCATCAAACCTTCTCAGAGCTCTAACTTCTCTTCTGCTTCTATCTCTTACGAGATGATAACTTAGAGGTGAACCATCTTCATATTGCATTTCTGTATCATCATTGAAGTCAATGGTGTGTGGTGTTATTGGACTGTTGGGAACAGACTGAACTCGAGCATTCTCATGTTCTCCACCCAAGCTAGTATCACGTTCTGCTTCAAGGTCGAGATCGAGATATGAGTAAGAATGCTCTTCTTCTTCTTCTTGAATGTTTTCCTTTCTCTGCATCAGGTCCTTGTAGACAGCATTCTCTTGAAAGATTACATTCCGACTTACCACACACTTAATTTCTTTCTTCAATAAGCCACACTTTGTAGCCTTTTACACCACTAGGATAACCAAGCAGAACCCCTTTCTTGGCTCTTGGATTCAGCTTGCCATCATCCATATGAACAAAGGCAATGCATCCAAATCTTCGTAAGTAACTGTAAACAGGAGCCTTTCCTGACCATTTCTTGTCTGGAATCTCAAAGTTGATAGCCGCTGATGGTGTCTTGTTGACGAGAACAACCGCAGTTTGTGTAGCTTCTGCCCAAAACCTCTTAGGAATCCCTGAGTCATTGAGCATACTTCTGACCTTTTCCATGATGGTCCGATTCATGCGTTATACAACACTGTTTTGTTGCGGAGTGTATGCACATGTACGATGTCTCTGTGTGCCTTTACCTTCACAAAACTCATCAAATATATGGTTGCAAAACTCTAAGCCATTGTCAGTCCTAAGAGTTTTCACCTTTCTATCACTGAGATTCTCCACTAAGTTGATCCATTCAACAAACTTATCAAACGCTTCATCCTTAGACTTAAGGAAGTAAACCCATACCTTGCGTGTGTAGTCGTCGATGAATGATATGAAGTACTGGCATCTACCGAGTGACGTAGGCACTGATGGAGCTCCCCATAAATCCAAGTGAATATACTCCATCCTCTCCTTGGTGTCATGTTGAGCAAGAGTAAAGCCTACGCGATTAGCTCTTCCGTAGATACAGTCTTCACATGTGTCTAATGTTGAGATTTTCTTCTTATCTAGTAGGCCTTTCTTCACTAGGAGATTCATGTTATCCTGGCTCATGTGACATAATCTCCTATGCCACATAACATTATCATCTGATCTCCCTTGAACTGCAAGTGACTCTTGTGAAGCACGTCTCCACTTAAGTAAGTAGAGAGTGTCATATCTCTCCCCACTGAGCAATACTTTGTCACCAGCCTTGATACAAAGTCTACCATTATCAGACTCAAATTTGTAGCCGGCTTTCTCAAATGTACCCAGTGACAACATGTTCCTATCCATTTCCGGAATGAACCTCACATTTGAGAGAACTACGTTAAGACCATCCTCATTATGAACTCTAATATTACCAACACCTCTGACCCTTGACATGTTTTTGTTTCCCATTCTGACTGAACCTTCAGCTTCTTCATCTAAACTTTCAAACCAATCTCGTCGGTAAGTCATGTGGTAGCTGCATCCAGTGTCCATGATCCACTCATCTTCAAGACGTATGTCTAAAGATAAGAGTGCCTCTATTACTATAAGTCATGAGGCTTCTGCAAGATTTCCTCTACCACCTGAAGATTTTGCTTTGTTAGTTTGGTCTTGAATCACCGCTTAGCTTGTAGGATTTGAACATTCCTTGATCATCACGTAAACATCTCCACACGTAATACCATGAATATACTGTATGGTCTTTTTGAGTGATGTATACCAAAAGTCTTGAAAGTTGAAACTACTTCACTCTCTTATTTAATGAACGTGAGGCAGCTTGACCATTCAGAGACGATGCATGGTCTCTTCCTCTTAGCCGTTGTCATCTTCCTTGGGACCATATGGTCATTGAGTGATGGTGATGTCTACGAAAAGTCTTGAAAGTTGAAACTACCTCACTCCCTTTATTTAATGGACTTCGAGACAACTTGAGATCATCAGACAAAAATGACTTCTTCCTCTTCCTTGGCACCGTTTTCTCCTTTGCCGTTGTCTTTGACTCCTGCGATGAAAGACGGTGAGTGTAGAGGCTGGGCGGAGCTTCCGTCTGAATTGACGTCATCGATCCTACGCAGGCTCGGCTCTATTGACATACTGGAAAACGCTCAGAAAGTGTGTACGTCATGGCGTCGCGTCTGTAAAGACCCTGCCTTGTGGCGGAAGATTGTCATGCACAAACCAGCAACCTTAGGGTACGACAGCGTGATCATGTGCCGTCACGCAGTCGATCGTAGCCAGGGAGGCTTGGTCGAGATTGACATTTGGTATTTTGGTACTGATTCTCTCCTCAACTACATCGCCGATAGGTTAATCATCTCTCTCCCTCCATGTGTGGTCTCGTGGTGCTAGGGACAGTGCCTTTTAATATGTTTTTTGTCTTATCGTTCTTAGACTCGATCATTTTTTTTGTGAACGACCTTAGACTCATACTTGGCTTAACTTTTTTTAACCATAACAAGTATTACTTGCAGCTCAAGTAACCTGAGATGCCTTAGACTTGCAATGTGTTTTCAAATAACAACCGATGGACTTGCTGAAGCACTTGTGAAGCTTCCATTGCTTGAAGAACTCGAAATCATCGACGGCTCTTTGTCCGCCGAGTCTCTAAAGGTTGTAGGCCAGTCTTGTCCTAATCTAAAGACACTGAAGCTTAGAAACCTGCGATTCATTAGACGTTTTCCAATCGTGGAAGACGATGTTGCTCTAGCAATCGCTGAAACAATGCCCCGACTTATCCACCTCCAGCTTTTCAGAAACAAATTAACAGACGATGGTTTAAAGGCCATTCTGGATAATTGTCCCAGCCTTGAGCATCTCGACTTACGCAAGTGTCGTAACATTGAACTTTCTGGAGATCTGAAGAAGCGTTGTTCACAGAAGATCAAAGTTTTTAGACCACCTTATTACAAGACTCGTGATTACCCATATGGTGTAAGGGGTGGGCGTTTGGGTTTAACTTTGTCGGAATTCGATATATAATAGTATGTTTATGGGTTTGGAATTCGATACACATTTAAATTTTAAATAAATTTTAAAATTCTCTGAATTTAGTAAAATATTAGGTAACAAATAAATTTAAATAATATATGCTCAAATACTTAAAAGCAACATGTATGTTTTTTTAATTTGAATAGTTTGATAGAGAATTAATAGCTTCCTCTACTTGTTTCTAAACTGTAGTGTTAATTTGAAATAAAATATTAATTCAATAATATAAATACTTTTATTTTGTAGATGTTTTCTATTCTTTTGGTAATAATTTAAAATATATTGGTAAGTTAATTTTAAGTCTAGAAGTATATATAACTTACTAATCTTTAACTAATTTTAAAGGTGGAATATTTTTAATTTATTTTATGTGTTTCGTATTCGTTATAAATTGAAAATATATTTATGAAAATGAAAAGAGGAAAATATTTTAATTTTTGAGCGCAGATAGTATTTTATAGTTTTTTATTTATGGTAAACGTAAAATTGTATACAAAATATTAGTTCATTTTATAAATTTCATTGAGGTGATTGGTTTACTATTAATTATATTATATTTCTGATATTTATATAATAAAAATATATTATAGTGTTTGTTTAATTATTCTATTTTAGTTTTTGAAAATTAGTTAATATTTTAAAATATAGAGAGAATTGTTTTTAAAATATTTCGTATAGTAAAAGGACATATATGTATTAATAAAATTAGAAATAGGCAAAAGATAATCATAAATATATTATTAGTTAGTTAATGTTTTAATAATTAAATAAAATTGATGTTGTAGCATTATTAACATAATACTTTAATAGGACCATAAATATTGCATATTTAAGAGGTGGTCCAAGTTAAAACTCACGCATGAAAAAAATCATGTTTTCTTTTTTACTAAGAGAGTTTCTATTATTTTTGGTATTTTGAATATTTTAAGCTATTTTGGATGTTTAAATTTTGGCCATCTTTTATAGGGAAATTTGTCTAATCTACCACTTTCAAAGTACCTTATTTCACTTTTACCTTAATCAATTTTACCATTAAAATTTTGATATGCAAAATACCATTCTATCCCCCCCAATTCAATTGTCAAACCTATAGCTATTTTTCTCCAAATCTCGTATGATGATATCAGTGGCGAATCTACAGCCTACAAGAAGGCAACTGCCCCATAAAAATATACATATTAATTTATGTACATATGAAAAATTAAAGATTATCTAGCTCAGGTGGTTAAAACCTTCAGTTGCCCCCACTGGTCTTCTGTTCGAAGCTCTATCTACCCTTTTATTTTGCTTATTTATTTATTATGAGTTTCCTTTTCTAATTTTTTTTCTTGACCACTTGCCATATCAATTTTTTTTTTCATCTTCTCACGATTGTTTTTATTCTCATCTTTTTGTTTCCTTTTATTTCATTTTGTTTTTTTTTTTAAACAGTAATTTTTTTTGTTATTCAAACTTTCAAATATCATTGTTCTTATAACAACTTATTTTATCATTTTTTTATTTCATTTGATTTTGTTAGTGAATGCATCTTATATTTCTTTTCAAAACAATTATTTAGTTATATCACTATAAAAATAAAAGTTTTTAAAAATAATTTAAATATTAATAGAATAATATTTAATTTAAATATGTTAATTAATTAATTAATTTGTCCCTACTAAGATTATTTTCTAGATCCGCCACTGGATGATATCACCGGCGAACTCGGCCATCTCCATCAATTCCGGCGAAAAACAATATATATATAGAGCACAAGTATCATTCGCGGGCCGCCACGTGTCGTGGGACCCGCAGAACAGCCCAAGCATCCATGAAAAACCGACGCTTATTGGGGCAACAGAAGCGTCGAATTTTTCTTTATCTGGACCCCACCCTTACCTTTTGTGCTAATTGCTTAATAATCCACTCTAAAACCCACTCCAAACTCCATTTTGCACTAAAATCTTCTCCAACCCTACTCCAAAACTCACTCCAAAATGGAGTAACAAACATGATTACTCCAAATATGGAGTAAACCAACTCATTACTCCAAAATGGAGTTGAACTTTTTTATTTATCAAATAGTCCTCCACATTTATATATGTTTCATTTTTAATAAAATATTATTATAAATAAGTACTATATATATTATAAAAT